AAGGAGCACCGTAAATTGAGTCAACGTCTTTTTTTTAACAAGTGGAGAGGGAAACGAGGCACGGGGATTTTATACTTAGGAATTAAGTAATTAAATTTGGATTAGCAGAATATAAAAAAATCTTGTTTTTCATTGATGTCTTCTCTTAATTGCAGGTACCCAACACAACAGAAGACGACATTTCTATCAACGCCAGTGTGCTGAAGGAGGGAGATGTCGCCCTCCTGCAGCTGTCTCGGGCCCAAACAACGCCGACTCAGCAAGCTCTGGGCCAAACAATGCAGAAGGAGCCGATAAAAACTTAGAGAAGAAGAATGAAGGAGGCAGCGACGTGGTTTACGCGAATGTGAACTGGGAAGAGCAAGAGCAAGAAGAAGAAGAAGGAAGATGATGCTGTGGGACATGGATCAACCTGGTAGCTCCTATCTTGAGGAGGAGAGGTGCATGGTGGAGGCATGAGCAGAAAATCTGTAGAGCAACGCAATGGAGATGGGAAGCCTATATGACAAATGTAGAGCCTAGAAATGTGAAGAAGGAAGTGGGAATGTGAATATGCCCAGGTTCAATTAAAAAAAAGTGAGAAGAAATAGATCACACTTCTGTATTGCTCTGCCTATTTTTAAAACTATTTTTCAGAATGTCTTGTTCTCTTGTACAAACGTTTCCTCATTTGCTTTTGTTGTTGCTTTGAAACAGAATTTCAAATGAACAGAATTATGTTTCATTGTTTTTAATTTAAGAGGTTTCTAACATCTTGCAGATTTTGTGTCACTGAATAATTTTGTTTTAATGGCATGATATACTGTATTTTTACTCATATAATTATGTTTGGCTTGTGTAAATTGACAGATCCTCCTCTGTTTTACATTTATTTAGTAGTTTGGAATATTTTGTTTATTATATTCTTTTGAACATTGGATTTTTGTTAAAACATACCTTGCTGTAGAAACAATAATAATCCAATAATCCGCAAAACTGCTTTTTGATGAAATGTTACGGAATAATGGTCTAACATTGTTACAGCTGCTGTGTTCAGGAAATTAAGAGGTCAAAAGGTGACTCACTGACTGCTGTACAGCCGCTACTTTCAAAAACTGCTAAGCTTGTTTATGGGTAAAATTGAGTTTCATCTGTTTGTATCACTGTTGCTGAGTATCATTACACATAAAAAGATGACACAGTAAGCAAATATTTCAAATATTAGTGTCATCTGAAAATTATTTTACCCAACTTCTGGGATTTGTCCTAGAACAGGAAAAAGTAGTAGAATTCTCACATTTAAACTGGAAATGTACATTGTTTAATAATTTTGTAATCAATAAAAGGTATTTTTAAAGTATTTGTAGCTTTTCTTGATATTGTTAAGTGCTTTTATTAACACTATTTGCAATGCAGTGTATCTGTATAAAATAATATACTATATATAATGACTAGTCAATTATTTAATCAATGTTTTCCTATATCAACTTATTAAGTACTAGTGACCATAGGAAATACTAATTATCATGTTGCATTATTCAGGTTACTGGCATAGTGTCTGTCACATGAACTGAATCAGTTAATACTACTTAAATTTAATAGTCATAAAACATTTCACCACAGGTTGAGTTTATATTGGTATTTATTAATTTGTAAGACATTTTAGAGGAAATAACTAATGGTTTACTTGCAATATTCTGACTTCAATACTTGCTAATAGGCAGTGTCATCAGGTGTATTATAATTATCTGTATAATAGTTTCATCAGCCCCCTTTGCACAATGTTTTACCCCCAGGATTTTTACTATAATAGTGAACTGGTAAAGTTCAGTAATGGAACCAGTCAGATTATTCATAAAACGTTAATTATATCAATAATACAAACAATATTTGTAAGAGGAACAGGTCGGGTGTTGGTGAAATACTGCGCCTCGCAAGATTCAGTGTCCCGGGCCAACAGGTGGGTGACGAGCAGAAACATAGCAAGAAAGCTGGTTGTTGTTGTTTGATGTCAACTTTTGACATTACATTAATAACGTGGTTTACACTGGGATGATTTAACAGGACAAATACACCTGGTACAGAGCTGACAGAGGCCAGGAGGACTTTACTGGGACCGGACGTGTTTTAAACATTAAAGCTTCTAAAGTCAGGGGTCCTTTTATCTGCAGGGCTGATAATGATCTAGGAGCTGGACGTTGCAACATCAACCAAATAAACGGTGAATATAAGTTTTCGTTTATTTAAAGCTTTTATTTACCTTTTGGCATTTAACACTTTTGTCATTGTAGACATACAACAACATTTTGTAGGGTGGTACCTCTCAGTGACAAGCGGCATCAATAAAAACAAGATAAAAAAGATAATACATGTAAATACAGTAGTACTGTAACCCATATTGAAATGTGATAAATGGAAGTAATTGATTGAAATGCATAAATAAGTTTATTAATTAAAATGAATTCATGTAAGAATCAATCAATAGCTTTAATTGAATGGAAAGAGAAAAAAGTATGGCTGTAAGAAATTCCTCATGAACTTCCCTTTAGGAGACTCTCTGCTTGTTGCCGTAGCAAGAAGGAGAGTGGAGCAGAGAGGAGAGAAATTAATCGAGAGAAAATATTTTAATGAAAAGTTGATTTAGAAGCTGAAAAGTAACACCTGCCTGGTCCGGGATTCATGAAGATTTTGATATTAGTAAACCACAACGGTTTTTGGTGAGTTTCAATTATTTTCATTTAAGCTTTGCTTGTAGTATAATAAATGCTAGCGAAGAGCTAACAGTTGAAAAAGCTATAAAACATACTGTTAATCAGTTAATTAATTAGTTTGGTTTGTTAAGGAAAATGAGGTATGAATGTATATTGTGTTAGTGGAAAAATGTGGAAATGTATTTTATGTAAAGGTGTGTGGTTAATTGCATGAGGGCAGGGAGAAAAGTACAGCAGTGTGAACAACAGGGCAAGGTAATGTTGCAATTTACAGTAATTATAAAACTTTATCCTGGTTTATGTAGTTAGAATAATTCATTTATTTTTTTCAGTTTTTTTCCTTGTTCCTGTATGAAGTTGACTTGAGTGTTGCTTCTTCTGCAGTGTGTGGAGTGGACGACAAACACACACACAAGCGCTGGATACAAGATGGCGAGCCAACCCATGGACCCATGAAGTTTCTAGGAGACAACTCCGCCCATCATGTCAGAAAGGATCCACTGTGTACACACTGTTGGTAAACTGGCTGCCAGAGCGGTAGTGTTGGGGTTATTCTTTTTTCCCTTTTTCTCTCTTTGAACTGAACTTGAACTGAAATTAAGTATTACTTCATATTGTATTCTGCAGTGTTGGGGTAGTTACTGAAACAAAATCCATTACACATTACTAGTTACTTTTTTAAAAAGTAATGCCTTACTTTACTGTGTTACTCGCTGCTTAAAGTAATTAGTTACACTACTAGTTACATTACTTTTGGATTACTCCATGAGATCACCTGAGATGCACCATACCTTCATTGCCAATGTTTTCTTTAGCTCAGTGTCCATCTTGACATAACACTGGTCCAGGTAGCTTGTAAAGGTTTTCCTGTCTTATGGGGCGCCCGCCCGCTGCCAGTGTATTTTGCTCAAGTTTCGAAAGACTGACGATTCCACAGTTACTTTGTGTTACTCCCAACACTGGTCTTCATAATTGTGAAAGTTATGATTTAAAGCATAAGTGTTTGACTTGACTAAGATTTTTGAAAATGGTGTAAATATTCTTTTATTTTCTTACTTCTTGTGAAGGAAAGAAAAAAAAGGGGTAAACTCAAGGAGATAGAAAGAAACCAAAATAGGTGCGACCTGTCCACATAAAATAAGACAGTTACTTATAGACCGGTCTAATATAAAAACTTTCTAAAACCAAATTATTAAAATCTAGGTAAGGGGAAGATGAGTTCTATTTGTTTTTTTTGTTACCTGCAGGACTATTCACTGGTTCTAATATTTGTTATGTGTATTGTCTATGTTAAATTTCAGTAAACTGGTTTTTGTATTTAAAGTACCTGGTCTCTGGTTTCATTTTTGTATGTTACCCCACTCTGTTGAACCTAGAACTGGTCCAGTAGCATTAATAGGGTTGTATTAGAGCATACATGTACCACAATACATATAAATATGAAGAGAGAGGCATTTGGATGAGCAGGTAAGCAGTGATAGTGCACATTGTCAGTATCAGTATAGAATATAGATTTACAACAGTTTGACAGTATACAGCAGAGACAAGATATGTGTAGTATATGTGTATGTGCTGTTTGTACTAAAGTTTTTATGTGCAATACAACAGGTGGGTGAATGAGTCTTTCAGTCTATAACTCCTGTGGAGGGTGGGGGTGATTTGAGGCTTCAGCTCTGGGGAAGAAGCTGTTCCTATGTGTCTGTTTGAACTAAATGAGATCTTTCTCTGTCCGTCCACTGACTCCTGGTAAAGGACTTTGACCAATTCCCAATCAATGCTCTGATACGTTTCTAAAGCAATTGATATACATTATCATATTTTGTTGTTGTTTTTATTGACATTATTATTATTACTACTACTACTACTGCTACTACAGGTCAACAATCACTGAACTGAATCTACATTCAATATGAAATACATAAAGCTGTTGAGTTGGAGTTAGATGATAAAATGTCCGTGTGCCATACAACTGTATCCGCCCTCCCCATATGACGTGGGACTGTTTAAAACTGATAAAAAAGTACGTACATTTCATTTTCACACCCATGTGCACTTTGTAACTTCCTCATTTTAGTTAATTCTTGCATGCGGTTCGAGAAAGCAACATAACTTTTAAGGAACTTCTTCATTTCTCTATACGTCTTGATCTGTCTGCCTGGAAGACCTGAAGAAAATGTAAGTCATCATAACTTCTATATGACACATATTGAATTCATAAATGTTAAATACACTATGAAGTAATAAAAACATAAACATTGGGTCATTTTACTTTAGATCAATAAACAATGTTAAAGGTATAAAAAAGAAAACACAGGTAGTAAAATGTCCCATTGAAATGTAAGCTGTAATTTGATTGTAGTTTGAGACAGTTGAAAATAGCTGTGAAAAAGAAACTGTACCCTTTGTAAATAAATTGAAAGAAATCAAGAAAAGAGACCATATGTTTGTCATTTTTCCCTTTTTCACAAAACAGTATAACTTCCTGTTTTTTCCTTTTCATCATTTCATCTTCTACGCCTTGTTTAACCAAAGCAGCATGTTGTAACTCTGACAAACTGAATGTTACAAAGTGTGGGTCAAACAATGAGTTTGTTTTTGCAAATCTTTATAATAAGTTATAAATAAAAAGGCAAAATTGCAAGAAACGTATTTAAAATAAGTATTGATTAATTTAACTGTTTAATTATAGTTTTTTTCATGAAATTAAGAAATAGATACAGGATTGCAAACGTTTCTTTGTATGCAACCTCTGCAAATATTGCATTCAATAGTAGCCTCCAAATGAACCCTACTGTAAAAGTTTATAAGGGATGAAATGTACTAATGATGTGAATTGTTCCATGTGTAATTCCAGAGTTTCTGTCTCTCCTGACACACAAAGATGGCTGCAGCTCTGACTCTCCTTCTCATTGGCTGTCTGCTGCAGAGTGAGTTAAAGTTCATTCACATTTTTATAGTTTTATAGTCATCAATGACTTTAAAACTATTAAAACCTATATCTACACACTGTTAGTTACATTCACACAACAGAACAACAGTATCTATAATACATGGTGCACTAAATACATTTGATGGGTGAAACATTTTATTTTTATCTAGAAAAATCATTACAGTCATCTTTTTGGATTATTTTATGAATAAAGGTTTTGTGCTAAGATTCTAGCACGGCAACCAAACAGTCAAATTTCCTTATTATTGTAAAGTAGTTTTCACTTGTTCTCATTTACAGGTTTGTGTCTTGTGTTTCAGGTGTCCACTGTGGAGAGTTTAAGGTCACTATGCCGCAGACTATAGAAGTTCTCAGGGGATCCTGTGTGACCATCCCCTGCTCCTTTGATATAAAGGACGGATATAGATCAGACTTAGATAGAACATGTAAAGCAATGTGGAAACATTATCAAGATGTTGTTGTGTTTAATAGCAGAAATCCTCATTCGTCTACAATAAAAGGGAAAACTGACAGGAGTCTTAACAGCTAAAGACTGCACCACAACTCTGAACAACATGCAACCTGAACACAGCAATAAATATTACCTCAGAGTGCAATGTGACAATGGCCTCAAATATGATTTTTTTGAACAAAAGTTGGACATTTCAGTAAAAGGTAGGTTTTAAAGTCAATGTATTTACACTTAAGTTATTTAGAACTGCTTTGACCTTGTACTTCATTAATTGCACTTTTCAAATAGTATAAAACAGAGAAGAATTACATTTTTACTGACTGGTCAAAATGTACCTTTCCACCAGATGATCCTCACAGACCGACTCCTGACTCCTTCACACTGGAGGTGAAGGGAGGGAACCTCAGTGAGTTTGAAGTGCTCTGCTCCAGCTCCCTGTCTGTCTCTATCCTCCAACCTGACATGGACCCCAGCCTGGGTCACAGTCAGGAGACACTGGAGGAGAATCAGGACAAAACTAAAGTCAAGACCTCTGTTGTGAACTTCACTGCTTCTCACCTCCATCACAGACAGGAAATCTCCTGTACTGCCGTCTACAACAAACAAGATGGCAGCACTGAGTCATCTGTTAGCACCAGTTTAACAGCTGATATTTCATGTAAGTCCATTTGTTTGTTTGTTTTTTAATTCATCATGAAACAAATTTAATTGAATTAGTCAAATCTTCTACAAAATATTAGCAGAAAAGTAATTTTGATGACAATATTTATATATAATGCTTTTTATAAAAGAGCAAAAACATGACAAATTACTTGATTTCCAAATATCAGATTACATTACACCTTTAAATAATACCAAACATTTATTTGTCATTTTTTGTGTGGAAGTGCAGCAAGAAAGCTGGCTGTTGTTTGATGTCAACTTTCTTTACAATGATGCTTTACCAGGATGAATATGATCAAAGTTAATTCAATCTCCAGGGAACACAGATATTACGACTTATAACTGACAATGTAACACATACCAATGATATTTATTTTTCAGATTCCCCCAAACACACCACAGTGTCAGTCAGTCCCTCTGGTCCAGTACCAGAAGACAGCACTGTGACTCTGACATGCAGTAGTACTGCCAACCCAGCAGTAAGGAACTACACCTGGTACAGAGCTGATGGAGGCCAGGAGACTTTTATTGGGACCGGACGTGTTTTAAACATTGAAGCTTCTGAAGTCAGTGGTCCTTTTTTTCTGGCAAGGCTGAAAATGATCTTGGAGCTGGACGATCCAACATCAGTCAAATAGACGTTCAGTGTAAGTATCTAATATCAAACTTGAAATGTTCTATATACTCTGATAGGTCTAGCTGTATGCAGTACACTGATTTACATTTAATAATATATTTTCATTATTTGGCTAAGTTAGATATTTACGGTATGTTTAGGATTTTAAAAATGTCCAACTTTAGCACCACTGTGTTGTCATCAAAAATATTTTTGTGTAGCACATGTATACTCTAATACAACTCTATTAATGCTACTGGACCAGTTCTAGGTTCAACAGAGTGGGGTAACTATACAAATGAAAACCAGAGACCAGGTACTTTAAATACAAAACCAGCAGTTTACTGAAATTTAACATAGACAATACATATAACAAATATCAGAACCAGTGAATAGTCCTGCAGGTAACAAAAAAGTAAAGTAGAACTCACTTTCCCTTTTTTTCCTCACCTAGATTTTAAATAATTTGGTTTAGATAGTTTTTATGTTAGACCAGTCTATAAGTCTATATTTTATTTTATGTTAATATGTTGCACCTATTTTTGGTTTCTTTCTATCTCGTGTTAACTCTTTTTTTAAGTTAGAAAACAAAAGAATATTTACACCATTTTCAAATATCTTAGTCAAGTTACACCCTTATGTTTTAAATCATAACTTTCACAATTATGAAGACAGAATAAAGTATTAATTTCAGTTCAAGTTCAGTTCCACTCTTGTATTTCAGTTCAGCTCAGTTTAAAGAGAGAAAAGTGGAAAAAGAATAACCCCAACAGTCCTACCGACCTGTCCAACAGGTCACGAAAGAAATTAATTATTCTAACTACATAAACCAGGATAAAGTTTTATAATCACTGTAAATTGCAACATTACTGCCACGTTGTTCACACTGCTGTACTTTTCTCCTGCCCTCATGCAATTAACCACACCTTTGCTTTACATAAAATACATTTCCACATTTTTCCACTAACACAATATACATTCATACTCATTTCCTTAACAAACCAAACTAATTAATTAACTGATTAACAGTATGTTTATAGCTTTTTCCAGTTACAACTGTTAGCTCTTCGCTAGCATTTATTATACTGCAACAAAGCTTCAACGAAAATAATTGAAACTCAGCAAAACCGTTGTGGTTTACTAATATAAAATCCTCATGAATCCCCGACCAGGCAGGTGTTACTTTTCAGCTTCTAAATCAAAATTTTCATTAAAATATTTTCTCTCTTTAATTTCTCTCCTCTCTGCTCCACTCTCCTTGTTGCTATGGCAACAAACAGCAGCAAGTCTCTTAAAAGGGAAGTTCATGAGAATTTCTTACAGCCATACTTTTAACTGTTTCCCATTCAATTAAAGTTAAACAATTATTAATTGATTCTTACATGAATGTATTTGTATGAATTAACTTATTTATGCATTTTAATCAATTACTTCTATTTATCACATTTCAATGTGGGTAACATCTGCATTCCACCTTACTAGTTAATCCTTTTCAGTCTCCAATATCACATGTTAATACAAGCTAGTCAGTCATTTAATGGTGTCTCTCCCTTTAACTAGTTAAGTACTAGTGAAGATAGGAAATACTAGTGACCTTGTTGTATTATTCAGGTGTTTGCACTCCAGGGTCATCAGTCACAAAAAAGGTGTTGGCACCAAAACTTCAAAAGAAAAATTGTGACACATCTACCTTAATTATTTCATGAAACATATCAGATCAAGTTACACCTATAAATATTATAAATAATAGTTCCATAAATTTTGTCATTTATTTTTCAGATTCACCCAAACACACCACAGTGTCAGTCAGTCCCTCTGGTCCAGTACCAGAAAACAGCACTGTGACTCTGACATGCAGTAGTACTGCCAACCCAGCAGTAAGGACCTACACCTGGTACAGAGCTGATGGAGGCCAGGAGACTTTTATTGGGACCGGACGTGTTTTAAACATTGAAGCTTCTGAAGTCAGTGGTCCTTTTTTCTGCAAGGCTGAAAATGATCTTGGAGCTGGACGATCCAACATCAGTCAAATAGACGTTCAGTGTATGTATCAAATTTCAAACTTAAAATGCTCTATATACTCTGATAGGTCTAGCTGTATGCAGTACACTGATTTACATATAATAATATTTTTTCATTAATTTGTTCATTTAGATATTTAAGGTATGTATAGATTTAGAATGCCGAACTTTAACACCCCCATGTTGTTATCAAAAAAGAGATTTTTGCATTCCACCTGTTCTAGTTAATCCTTTTCAGCCTACAATAACACACATGTCATTACTGGCTAGTCAATCATTTTAATGGTTTCCTGACACCCCATTAACTTGCACAGTAGTTTGAGGATGGGACATATTGGTCGCCAGGTCGCATTATTGCAGGTATTGCCCTCAAGAGTCAGTTGGGTAGTCCAACAAGTGTCGTGTTAGTGCAGCAAGGGAAGCCGGCTGTCGTTTGCGGTCAACTTTCTCTGATTTGAACACAAATATTAGATCAAATTTACAATAAATACACATAATGTTTCCTTAAATATTTTCTTTTTCAGATTCACCCAAACACACCACAGTGTCAGTCAGTCCCTCTGGTCCAGTACCAGAGGACAGCACTGTGACTCTGACATGCAGTAGTACTGCCAACCCAGCAGTAAGGAACTACACCTGGTACAGAGCTGATGGAGGCCAGGAGACTTTTATTGGGACCGGACGTGTTTTAAACATTAAAGCTTCTGAAGTCAGTGGTCCTTTTTTCTGCAAGGCTGAAAATGATCTTGGAGCTGGACGATCCAATATCAGTCAAATAGATGTTCAGTGTAAGTATTGCATGAGTAAAACCCAGGCACAATTCAGTTTATCTAAAGATTCTATTTAGTCATTCATTCATTATCTTTATTTTATTTTGTATTTTTTTCCCCCAAAGCTCCCTGGTAGCTCACCAGCGTGCCCCATAAGAATATCATTTAATATAATTATTGATACAATGTCTTCAGTAAGATGTTAACAAAATTTCTTAATTGATGCAATAAATAAGCAGGTCAGATTTAGAGCTTTGTGAAAAACAAAACAAAAAATGATAATGAACATTTTTTACTCTAAACACACAAATCTCACCACATGTGGTCAGCAGGCTCTCGTCTCATTGATAGTATCCTCATTTTGGTGATAGGGGTTCAGTTAGAAACAATATTAAACCTCATGAGATATAGTTTTTAGTCCCATTCATAGTAATTAGACTCTTTCACAGTTTTCCAACTACAATACTCCTTCAGTTACTTACAACAAATTGAAGCCAGTGATTCAGTGTATCGACAGCTCTTTAACACCTTCAAATCTTCCACCTTTTACAGGTTATTGATATTATTTAACTTTTAGATCCAGCAATATAAAAGTGTTGCGTAAACTGTTCAACGGCTCTTCATTATTCCACATCATTGAAAGAATTTCAAACCAGTAATTCAGCCTGTCGTAGGCCGTTCAGCAGTCTGCATTCACACACATTCTCTAGTTATATGAGAGGTTGTACGTTACATCTAAGAGGTGTCTCTAATATTTAGTCTAGTAATAGTATGAGGCAAGATTAGAACCGTGACCGTCACTGTTCAAATATGGTCTTTTGTGTCCGATGTAAATAACCTCTTTGTTCTTTCTTGTTCCATCCACTGACTCCAGGTAATAACCAATTCCCAGTCAATGCTCTGATGTTTCTAACTGGTTTAAATCATTATATATTTTTTTTTACAATTTATTGACTTCATTTTGCTCCCTTTAGTTACCACAGGCCCTCATCAGTATAGAAGTCAATTCTTTGATAAAATCAGGCAAATACACTAACAGATAACTAAATATGTCATTAGTTAACCCACTTGTAAAACTAACCTAACCCTGGGTTAATATGGCTACAAACAATTCCTTTATTCCTGTGGTAACAAGACACACAAATGAGCACAGAAAAGACCCTCAATGTGGAAAATGATTGACTTTGCATTAAGTTTGTCTTCACTTGCAACTTACAGTTATTGTGATATCAGTACATCTTGTCATTTATTTTTGCAAACTTGATTAAACATGACTATTACAAGCTTGACTCAGACATGTGACAGCAGAGGGAGTCAACACACACAAATGTCCAAAGCCAAAATAATTTATAAGAAAATAAGAGTTAGGATGTATGTGTGACTAAACTAAGAAGGCGTGGATTTTATTTTATACCTTTGACCCCTCCCAGTAAAGGAAGCCACATGGGCTGTCACAAACTTCATTCTTAACTTGTCTGTCTTCTACATTCATTACAGTTGCTCCCACAGATCCTGCCCTCATTTTATTGCATCAAAACTGCAGACCAGCTCAACTGTTCCTGTGAGACTGTGGAAAACCTTCTCCCACTTTACAGTGGTATTTGGATGGTTTACCTGTCAATCACTCTGACAAGTTTGCAATCAGCAACGAGCTTCTAAATGAGACAAGGCTGAAGATAATCATCACTGTGAATCAACCACAGGAGAGGGATCTTTCCACTTTGCTCTGCCGCAGCTCCAACTCTCTGGGATCTGCCAGTCAACCTTTTATGTTCTTCAAACATCTGCAGAAAGTCAAGGTTTGTCATATAGTACTATTGATTAGTTGGAAATGATCAGGATTTCTTCACCTTTTATTTCATTCGTTTATTTAGTGACAAGGTTTTTCCTTTATAATAATAAAAGTAGTGATGCACTGTAACCAGTCCCCAACCAGGATGATTGAGCCACTGTTGCATCAATGACAGGGATATGATATGTGAAGTGTTATTGTTGTTTCTTGTGACAGGTCTTCGAGCAACATTGTGGACCGTACAGTGGAATTCTTCTATTGGCTGTTGCTGGTGTCTCTCTCAGTGTCAACGTCTTGTACACAATCTACGTGGTGTTCCTTTGGTATGTATGTTATTACAGTGGATTATATTTTTATAAAAGCTCTGCTGATGAATAGCACTGCTGTTTTTAGAAAATATTGAATATGTACTTTTATTTTTCTTTCTCCTCAAAGTAAAAGAAGAAAGAGTGTGAAGCCAAAAGAAGAGGAGATGACTTACATGTCTTTGGATCGTAGAGACACATCTCCAGAGTATGATGTCATTGCCCAAACTCCAAAATGACTCCCTCTACTTCCACTGATGATGAGCTTGATGATTATCACATAACATTGCTTAATGATTTATTGTATATCTTATACTGAGGCAAAAGCTCATCCTTCATCACCTTGCCTCTCCTGCAGTGCCTTAAACTTCCACTTAGTGATATCAGAGTTTATGTATCAATTATCTAACACTGAACAACTATACAATGTAATGTAAATAAATACTTTCTATATGAATCTTCTAATGCTCGCTTTTGTAGAAATGTTTTAAACTTCAACAGAAAGGTTATTGATTATGCTATATGGTCATTTTTAGGTACTGAGGTTTTCATGTTTGTTGGTGTACATATGTATGGTATACATACTGTTGTGTCTCGTCAAGTGTGTTAATTTTAGTCATGTTCATGTTTAGTGTTTCATATTTAGTCCTTCCTGTTTTATTTTGTACTGACCTTTTCCCTCACATTTCAGACCCTGACTTCCTCCCTTTGTGTGATTTTCCCTTCTTTGTAATTTTCTGCCCCGCCCCTGATTGTTTTCACCTGTTTTCACTTACACCTGGTATAAATAGTCCTTGTCTCCCTTTTGTCTTTGTCAGTTTGTCTTGTTCAGATTGTGAAAAGTATTGTCATGTGTTCCAGCCAGAGTTTTTTCATGTTTCGATTAAGGTTTGTTTGAAGTTTTTATCCTTGTTGTGAGCGCCTTTTGTTTTCTCTCTTTTTTTCAACAATAAATAAACAATAAATACCCCTTTTGTACATCTTCGTCAGTCCCTGAGTCGTGCGTTTGAGTCCACCAGAATTGTGTCTGAGGTCGTGACACGTACATGCTTTTCATGAATAAGAGGACAGGATTTACAGGACACTGGATCGAAGAGATGAGTCTCAGAAACAGACGTGTCAACATCCACTGAGTGCTTTGTTGATTGTTTGACAATGACACTGAAATATTTCTCAACAAAATATTAGACCATTGTTCATTTCCTGTTTGTTCCCTGTTCCAAACAGTAATTGTCTTTTAAAGCATGACCACAATTGTTATATAACTTCAACCATACATTTGTTTTTTGTAATTTGTGATTTTAAACTGTTTCAGAAGGCTCAGACAAATGTTGTCTACCTGTCGATAGTGGACTTGTTGTAATACTATTTTGAATATCAACTAGAATTATCAGTGTGTCTGAACCCCTATTTGCTACAATAGGTGGAGTACAATAACATGAGCACAATGTAATGTAAATAGCACTGTAGAGATAGTAGCTTTGAAGGGGTTATACTGCTTAATTATTGGTGAAACTGGATCACAGAGGTATTCACTTAACTTTGTGCTCATTTGAGTGTGTGGTGGTTTTATTTGCACTCTTTTATGTTTGGTTGTAAATTTGTCTTTACATACAATACATACATATAGAGACCATGTAACTGCAAAATGCAACATTCACTGATAATGACATTCAATATGACATTCAAAAAAAGGTTCATACATACTGAACTGAACTCGACTCAATTAGATGATAAAATGTCTGTGTGCATATGACTGTGTCTTCCCTTTCCCTTATCTGACGTGTGACGGTTAAAAAACATTTCTTGAAACAATTACAATTAAATATTTATTCATAAACTTATTTATAATAATTTGTAAGCTATATATGTTTCCCATAGTAAGTAAGAAAAAGTACACTTCATTGTTACATGAATCTGCACTTTTGTGACTTCCTCATTTTAAAGTTAATTCTTGCATTCTGTTGGAAACAGCAGCACAACTTTGAAGGAACTTCACTTCTCTATACATTTTTGCTCTGTCTACCTGGAAGACCTGAAGACAATGTAAGTCATCATAACTTCTACATGACACATATTACATAAGCAACATTTTTTAAATGTACTATAAAATTCAAAAAAATATAAACATGAGGTTACTTTGCTCTCAACAATTACAGTGCAAAATTTCAAAGGTAGAAAAAAAGAAAAGACACGAAATATGTGAAAGGTGGCAAAATCGTCCGATTGTGGTTTAAGAATGTTGAAACTAATTCTCTCAAATAAATTGTAACTTTGTAAATAAACTGAAAAAAAAGACATAGTATGTTTGTCATTTTTTTCCTTTCACAAACAGCATAGCTTCCTGTTTTTCATTTTTATTATCTATTAATTTTCTACGTCTTTTTTAACCAAAGCAGCATGTTGTAGCACTGAACTGAATGTTACAAAGGGTGGGTATTGATTAGACCTTGATTGAAGTATTGATTAATTTAACTGTTTAATTATAGTTTTTAAAGGAATGCAGTTATATCGTCCCCTTATTCCTCTACGAATGATAAATAGCTGTGCTGTGTCACCGTGACCTCATGAAATGAAGAAACAGATCCGGATTGCAAAACGTTTCTTTGTCTGCAACCTCCACAAATATTAAATTAAATACTGGCTTCCAGGTGAACCCTACTGTAAAAATTAATGAGGGATGAAATGTACTAAAGATGTGAATTGTTCCATGTGTAATCTCCAGAGTTTCTGCCTCTCCTGACACACAAAGATGGCTGCAGCTCTGACTCTCCTTCTCATTGGCTGTCTGCTGCAGAGTGAGTTAAAGTTCATTCATATTTGGATCAATGACTATAAAACTATTAAAACCTATATCGACGCACTGTTAGTTAAGCATTCACACCACAGAACAGCAGTATCTTTGATACATGGTGCACTAAATACATTTGATGGGTGAACAATTTTATTTATCTCGAAAAATCTTTACAGTCTTCATTTTGGATTATTTTATGAATAAAGGTATAGCGCTAAGATTCTAGCACGGCAACCAAACAGTCAAATTTCCTTCTTATTGTAAAGTAGTATTCACTTTTTCTCATTCACAGGTTTGTGTCTTGTGTTTCAGGTGTCCACTGTGGAGAGTTTAAGGTCACTACGCCGCAGACTATAGAGGTTCTGAGGGGATCCTGTGTGACCATCCCCTGCTCCTTTGATATAGAGGACGGATTTGGATCAGACTTAGATAGAACATGTAAAGCAATGTGGAAAATGAACAAGGGACTGTTGTGTTTAACAGCAGAAATCCACAATCGTCTACAATAAAAGGAAATTTGACAGGAGACTTAACAAAAAGAGACTGCACCACAACCCTGAACAACATGCAACCTGAACACAGCAACAAATATTACCTCAGAGTGGAATGTAACAATCGCCTGAAATATAATTTTAATCAACAAAAGTTGGACATTTCAGTAAAAAGTAAGGTTTTAAAGTCCATTTAGTTACACTTCAGTTGTTTATTTTTGTAGAACTGCTTTGACCTTGTTCTCCATTAATTGCACTTTTCAAATAGTATATAAAATGGAGAAGAATTACATTTTTACTGACTGGTCAAAATGTACCTTCCCACCAGATGATCCTCCCAGACCGACTCTGACTCCGTCCACACTGGAGGTGGAGGAGGGAACCTCAGTGAGTTTGAAGTGCTCTGCTCCAGCTCCCTGTCTGTCTCATCCTCCAACTCTGACATGGACCCCCAGCCTGGGTCACAGTCAGGAGACACTGGAGGAGAATCAGGACAAAACTAAAGTCAAGGCCTCTGTTGTGACCTTCACTGCTTCTCACCTCCATCACAGACAGGAAATCTCCTGTACTGCCGTCTACAACAAACAAGATGGCAGCACTGAGTCATCTGCTAGCACAAGTTTAACAGCTGATATTTCATGTGAGTTGTACTTAACCATTAGTCGATCAACAGAAAAATAGTTCTCAACAATGCTATGGTAAGCGTACTGACTCATTTCCCGGTTTACTTCCTGCTCTGTGTACACTGTTTGGTGCTGTAGCTCTGTCAGTGAACACTAAATATAAATTTGTTTTTCTCGTTACAGCGGTTATTTTCCCGCTTAAACATTTAAACGTAGACTATTTCTAACTAAACACTCGGAGTTACTACTTCTTTTAGCGATTTTTTCATACATTCTAGCTTCATTAGCATTAGCAGTTAGCTATGGCCTCTCCACTATCCTGCTCAGTGTGTTGAGGAATCTCTGTATTTCAAAAACTCATTCCTCGCGTGTTCTTTTAATGAAGCGATAGGAGAAGATTTAGTTTACTCAATAATCAGCTTTATTCTTAACACCAGTAGAATGTGCAAAGTTTACAGAGTCTGGGTTCAACTACAGTTAACATGACATGCACAAGGTCTGCCAGTTCACGAAGTCTGAGCCACCTCTTGTTTCTAACATCAGTTCTTATATTTTTGCAGATAACACACATAGCACAAGATGGTATAATCTCCACCCCTTGTCCTCTTGGTATCTTGTCTCCAACGATGGTGTTGATGGGGTAGCCAAAACCTGAGTTGTTTTTCACGACTGGAAGGAGTCCGTCCTGTGTTCTATCATTGTTTTTACGAGCTCCTGATACTGACCTCGGAGGCCGTGTTTGCTGCTATCTCTCCCAAAGAATGTCATGTTATATCTGCAACTACCCACACTCTTCTCCCTTATACTGTGCCTGCTATTCATATTTATTAGTAAGTTATAATTCTATAACACATCATACAAACATCTAATATTCATTACTTTATTTCTGTTATTAGTATTCCCTTAACAGCCCTTTATCAATGTAAGCATAATCAATGTAAGCACAAGAAAACATATTTCTATTCTAGTTAATAATCATACAGGTAAATATATAGAGTATAAATCACAGAATATCGCAACATGTGTCAGATGTTGGTTAGTTATTCCTCTGCCTCCTTTAATGATAATGGTTCTTTTATTAACTGTAGTTTATTTACTGCGCTGGAGGCGAGGCTTAGTGAGTTAGAGGAACGGCACCGCACCACGGAGATATCTTTAGCCGCTATAGTTAGCCAGCCCCCAGTAGCCGGTGCGGCCCAACGAAGGTAGCTTCTGCTAGCCGTCCTCCGGTAGTTCCCCGGTAGATCCTCCGGTAGATCCTGAGCAGCCGGGAAGACAGGGAGGCTGGGTGACTGAATGAAAGAAGAATAAAACGCTGAAGCCCACAG